GAGCTTTGCTTACAGTCTGGACTCCTTTTCTTACTCAGCACCTGAAGGTCAGTGAATGGGACTCCATCACATTTCACTGAGCACAGCTCCCCAAGGGATCAGCTTCCCACTGAGGAATATCTGCACACACGAAGGATGCAGCAGTAACAATGCCTTAGGGGAGGACACAACACAGCAAGGGCCAGAAGGCTTGGAGCATCTGTTGGAAGTTTCCAAGAGGTGCAAGGCCCTGATTTCTGCAGTCATACACCCAGAGATTGTATTATACCCCACCTAGCTCAGACAGTTTCACCCATACAGCTCTTCCTCAGCAGAGCCCTGTAAAGTGCCAGTGAAGCTGCCTGAGATCACGAGGGAGGACTGCACATTCCAGCTAAGTTTCACTCTGTACTGGCAGCAGTGACAGCTGAAATGCTCTTCCTGTTCTGGACATCACATGTTCTTTCAACACAGATCTGCAGCACCAACACTTGCTCTGGCCCCCAGTAACCTGCTGACAGAGGTGTAGAGCTCCACACCCACTCCACAGCCACCACACAATCATGTGAGTCTTTCTTCCTGCTCCTGCAGCTTCTGAGCACAAATTCCACAGTGAGAGGGAAAGGACACCTCAATCAAGACAAGTAACAACAGAAGCAGAAGAAATAAATTCCTCAAGGTGCTTCTCTGCCCCAGGAGACTCACAACCCACCTGAAACACTTCAGACTTCCTCCACGCTTTGGCACCAGCTCACACACACCACTTATGCTGAACTACCCCTTAACTCACCATTTACCCTCTTTGGAAAACCTGCCAGAAGAGGTAGAAGGCAGCCTTCATCCTCAAAACACCCTTTGGGCCCCAAGAAACTGTTGCAGAATCTCATGTCAAAAAACATAACCTGACAGTGACCTATACAAAGGATGGAAGTTTAAAATTCTGAAATGGAGGTGAAGTCATACGGCAGCTTACGGAACAATCACTGCAAAATACATCTGAGCTTCAAATGAATTTTTAAAAATAGAGGTACAGAGATTGGTATTCAGCTTTTCCAATCTTATTCTGCAAAGGCAGCCACTGAGAAGCTGAAGTGCTCAGAGCAGAGGCAGCTTTTGCTACAGCTCCTTCCAGCAGTGCTGCCACAGTGCTGCTATGGCAGTGACACAAGCAGGGGCAGCAGCACCAGCCCTCCCCTTGCTGGACACCCACTGTGTCCAGCCAGCCCCCAGACAGCAGCAGGAAGGGCTAGAAATAACCAGCATCTTTCAGCAATCTGGTTAATGGACAGACACTGTGGATTGCCACAGTATTTCATGCAAACAGCAAGGGCAAGGATGGATTTCAAACATCCATAACCACCTCCACCCTGCACAGCAATGGTGACAAAAGACAGTTTTCTTTCCAAAGTCAGGCTGCAGCTTTCATCTGGGAGCCCCAAATGAACACTTCCTTCACAAGAGCTCACTGCTAAAGCCCACACCACCTTCTGCTCTCAGAGGTAGCACATGAGGCAAACCTTTGAACACTGGCCAGCTCTGTTCCCACAGGGAGCAGCAAAGGAGCTGAGACAACTCTCTGAAACCAGTGGGGCAGAGTGACACAAACAACCCAGAAGCTCAAACAGCCAACACTCAGCCAGAGCTGTGACCTGCCATCATCACCACAGAAACAACAGAAAAGCTGCTCTTCCATCAGGGCTGGGGAAAGGAGACTGAAAATCTCCAAGGGTTAGTGCAGCTGCTAAGGAAACACTTGCTAACCTGAAGATGCAGCAGTGACCTAGGGCAGCAGCCTAGCTACAGGCTTGGTGCAAGCTCTGACTAGCTCAAACTGCTAGAACAGAAAGAATTTTGCAACTTCTCACAGGATTGTGAAAGAAAAAGCATTTCAGGTGAATTGTGAGAGCTCCTCGTTTGTTTTTTTGTTTGTTTGGGGTTTTTTTTGAGAAGTGAGAGCAGTTCCATACAGAGGCCACAGGAAGTGGAATTAGGATTGTGAGAGCTCCCTGAGCACAGAAAGCCTGGCCTCTCCTAGAAGCCACCCACCCTGCAGAGACAATTCCAGAGGACACACTTACTGTTCCAGCCAGGATATCGTGGGGACAGCAATCCAGCAGGTGGCTCTTGCACACACGATCGTCTGTGAACTTCACCCTTTGTCTGGTTTCATCTCCTGAAATTCATGTGTGGTTTAAACAAGGAGACATTAGAACACCAGGAGAACACAGGCATCAGCATGAACATTTCAGCTCAATATGCAGATTAAAATATTTGGTGCTCCTGCTCCCCAAAATTACTCCAAAAAAAAAAAAAAAGCTTAGAGGGTAACAGGATATTCTGGAACACTAATAATTGACAACAAACACTACTTTAGCATTTATTCATCCAGGACACCATGTTAAACACAGTGCTGGCGAGCCAAGCAATGTCCAGGGCCTGTCATCCACATAAAGAAGCAGCACAGACAGAGGAGAAAAGGAGAGAGACAGGCTGGCTCCCAGCCAAAACCTGTCTATTTTTTCCACCCTTTCTTTTTCTTACTGTGAAGAAGGGGCAGGAGATACCAAACCCCACGCTATCAGATCACAAAACAGGGCTGTGCTGGGCAAAATTTACAGGCAACTGCTCTTTGCTCAGGTGGTAACTGAGCCACCAGTGCTTTGGTCTGGAACCCAGCTATGCAGGGTGTGCTCTCCCAGGCCTGCAAGGGAGGAGCTGGCAGGTCCTGGCCTGGAACACACCACGTGCTCCCCACCCACAGCCCACCCTCAGAGGACATTTTACACTCAGGAGCCACTTAAAACGAGACAATATCAGAAAAGCAACAAAAGAAATAATAAAAAAAGAAACAAAGTTAGTCAATACACACTGCGAGCTCCAACACATACTATACCCATCTGCATTCTTCAAGACCTCAGCTGCAGAATTTTATGCCCATTGTTGAAAAGTTTTAAAGGAAAAGCTTTCTTGCCCACACCTGCAGTAAGGAAGTCAGGGGAATGATACATAAAAGTAAAGGCAAAGTGGCAATGGTATGTGACAATTTTAAAGCTCATCTGTGCATATGACACAGGTATGTGTAATACTAAAGTATGAATATAGTTTAGGATTCACAAGCATCCAGGAATAATGTTGTGTCTACTGAAATTTTTTTAAGGTTTTTTTTTTTTTCTTTCTAAGCTACACTTTTAAAGTTACTTGTGAAAAAAAGCAAACACTTTGTTTTTTGTTATAACAGCTTTAAAAATTGGTTGTGACTCACGGCTCGATGAACATGAGGCTTTTCTGCAACTCCCTTGCAGATTGATGTAGGCAGGCAAAGATACACTGAACCTTTATAAATAAAATAGAGGGGCCACAATTGTTCAGTTTGTATGAAATAAAAATATGGGAAGCAATTCAATAGCAACTCAATACACAGAGAAAGAAAAGCACTTATTCACTTACGAAACAAAGTGCAAAGTGCCTGGACAGCCCTGCTAACGTGCCAAAGGGAATTTAAGTACCCAGCGAGTCGCAGAAGGGAGACACAAACCGCAGCGGGGCCCTATTTTGCACGGGCTGTCACATTTCTCGTGTCGGACAGCACCCGGCGCTGCGGGCACACCTACCTACGCGCCTCCGGAGTGCGGGCACGGAGCCGGCCGGGCCTGGCCGCGCAGCCGGGCCCGGAGCGGCGGGGCGCGGACAGCCCCGGGCCCGCTCCGGCCGCCAGGCCGCGGCGTTTCCTGCAGGCCCCGCCCGCCCCTACTCACCGTCCCGGGCCGTGCCCATGAGCTGGTCCAGCAGGGCCCGCATCTGTGCCTGGGCCGACATGGCGGGGCCGGTCCGGAGGCGGCGGCTCCGACCGGGACCGGGACTGGGGCCTGGGGCGGCGGCGGCTCAGCGGCCTCGGCAGCGGCGACGCGCGGCGAGCGCTGAGCGGAAGCGGCCCCGCCCTGCGCCGCGCTGCATGACGGGAAGGGTAGTCCGCCAGGGGGCGGGGTCCGAGCGGCGGGGCTGGAGGGGGCAAGCTTGGTGGGCGTGGTCTGAATGACGTCTCGGTGATGTCAGAGGGGCGTGGTTGGGCGAAAGGGCGGTAATGTCAGGTGGGCGTGGCTGTGTCCTGGGGGCGTGGTCAAAGTGAAGGGGCGGTGATGTCAGTGGGGCGTGGCGGTCCTGAGGGGCGTGGTCAGAGTGAAGGGGCGGTGATGTCATCGGGGCGTGGCTGGGCCGAGGGGCGGGCGGGAGCACCGGACCCACCCCCGCCGTGCCCGGTGCCCGGTGCCCGGTGCTCGGTGCCCGGTGCCTGGTGCCCGGTGCCCGGGGCCCGGGGCTGGCCGGGTGTGGGCACAGTAGCCAGGCCGCAGCGGTGCCCGGGACAGCCTGGTGCCCGGAGCAGGCCCGGGCTGCGCTGGCTGCCGGCCCCGCCGCGCTGCGGCAGCTCGGGGCCGCCGTGGGGAATGCGGGCAGGGGGAATGCGGGCAGGGGGAATGCGGGGCGAGGAAAGCGCCTGCCGGGGCGGGGGGTGACAGGACACGCGGCCGGGGCCGGCGGGAGCACCAGGAGGCTGGGCGGGCGCACGGACAAGGGGACGAACCCCCCTGGCCGCGGAGAGCGCCGAGGACACGGCGGGGCAGCGCTGGGCGCTCCGTGGCTGCTCCCCCAGCTGCCGGGGGGGTGAGCCCGTGGTTTTGCGGGAGCCTGGGCTGCTGCGGGGCTCTGCCGTCTGCTGCGTTCCCTGCCTGGCTTTGTGAGCTCCAGCTCGCACCGCTCCCTTGAGTTTCACCTCTTGTCTCTTCTCCTGGAGCTCCGGGCCCCGGCTGCTCTCTGGATGCTCCCCGAGCCGGAGAAATCCCACCCGCTCTCTTTGCTGCCACAGGGCCCCCTGGGCAGCAGAGCCGGAGCGCTGGTGCAGGATTTGCCGCAGCCATGCCTGCTTTCCCCCCGGTTTGAAGCTCCTTTTCCCCCCGGTTTGAAGCTCCTTTTTCCCCCGGTTTGAAGCTCGGTTGGCTTTCGGGGAGAGGCAGCGTGAGCCAGCCCCGGGCAGGGCTGTGCCGCCGCCCCGCTCCGCTGCCGCATCCCGGCTGGGCAGAATCAGAAGGGGTCTGCGAGCTCCCTGCTTGGGTCTCTGCAGGCAGGAGACCCCTTCCCTGTGGGACAGCAGCTCCTCATGCCCGGGCCTGGCAAAGTGTGGAGCAGGGATGGCCACCCTGGGCACTCCAAGGGGGCAAAGCCACACGCCCAAGGCTGCTGCAGGAGCAGTGGCGTTGCCTTGGGACGGTCCTGCTGAGCCCTGGGTGCTCCTAATCCTTCCGATTCCTTCCCACAGCGGGCGGAGACCTCCTCGCTCCCAGCTCTGTGAGCCAGCAGCCCAGCCATGTGCTCCCCACACCTCCTGGCCAGCCTGGCCGGACCCTCCCCAGCTGGCCAAAGGGTCGGTGCAGCCCTTTCCTCCAGCCAGCCCGAGGCTGTGGGAGCTCTCCCATCTCCTGCCTGCCTGGGCAGAGGTGGCTGGGGACAGCAGAGGAGCCGCCTTTCCCCGGGGATCAGCGTGGCTGTCCGCTAGCAGTGCCAAGCCGTGCCAGTGCCGGGCCGGGCGGGTAAAATTGGTGACACCGGGGAGCAGCCCGAGGGGTGCCCGTGGCTAATCAGCTCCCGTCCGCCGTGTTTGCCCAGCAGTGCCCGGTGCCGGCTGCCCCCGCCCCGCCTGGCCGCGGCAGTGTTTGGAGAGGGGAGAGGAGAGGGAGAGGTGCCCAGCCCTGCCCCCGCAGGGAGCCCCAGGCTGCCGGCCCGGGCAGCGGGGGGACAGCCCCGCAGGCTGGGACACTCCCTGCCAGCAGCGGGGCGCCCCTCTCAGCTCTGCGGACACCTCGGAACACGGTGCTCAGGGCAGGGAGGGCTCCGAGGGAGAGACCAGGGGCTGCGGGCACCCCAAAAACAGGAGAACAGGGCAGCTCTGGATCAGGGCTGTGGCTGTCCCCAAGCCCAGGGGCTAGTGCCCCACTCCCTGAGTGTCCCCAACATCTGTGACAGGATCTGGTGCTGTGTCAGACCCCTGCCATCCCTTCAGCTGTCAGGGGCAGGCTGTCCTGTGCACTCTGGCCATCCTGTGTCCCCAGCCACCCTGCATCCCCAGCCACCTGTGTCCCCTGGCCCTGTTCTGTGCTGCCCCAGATGACCCTGCTGGCACATCCATGGCACCTCTGGCACAGCCTGTCTGGGACCTGAGCTGATTGCCACTGTCCCTGTCCTCACAGGGGAGCCACGGGCCACAGCACAGGGTAAAAATGCTGTCACCCAGCTCTGTCCCTGCCCTGGGGCTGGCCCGGACACTCTCCACATGGCATGTCCACGCTTGCATCCACAGGTTCCAAAACCTCTCTCAGGTCAGGGAGCCCAACGTCCATCTCGAAGGCCGGAGATGAGTGGTCTGAACCTGCACGAGGGTGGAGAGGAGTGGTCTGAACCTGCACGAGGGTGCTGCAGCACCTGGGGGTACCCAGGGAAAGGCTTTGCCCACTGCAGCGGCAGCCCCTGTTTGCAGAGGCATGGCTCGATACACAGTATGTTCTTCAGAAGATCCCTACTCCAGGAGTCAAAATAGCATGAAATTTAATTTTACGCCTATTTGACAAAGCTTGATTTCACCTCCAATCAGCGGGGAGATAAGAGCCCTCGGCACAAGTGTGCGGGCAGTTTGGCAGCTGGGGCTGCCGATTTAATAGGTGAATTTACAGGGACAACACTTGAAAATCCCCTGGCGAGTGAACCATTAAGGTGAGCCCTGCCTTCCCGTCCCCGCGTCCCTCCCCGCGCCGCTCTCCCGTTGCTGGGTGCTAAAGCAAACCCCAGCTCTGTTTACCGAGTCTACTATTACAATACGGCTACCAAATATTTGCCAGCCGTCAGCTCGCTGCCCCGCTATAAATACTTCAGGCCCAGGTGGAGGGACGGGCAGGGGAGCGGCGCGGGAGCCTATGCATGGCCGGGCAGCGCCAAGGTGAGTGTGGAGCCGCGGGCCGGGCCATGCCCTCCAGTCCCGGGGGTCTGTCCGGCCGGGGGTCTGTCCGGCTGAGGGGGTGGCGGCAGGGCAGGCTGTGGTGGCCCCGCTCCCCGCAGCCCGGAGGTGAGGCTGAGCCCCCCGCAGCCCAGCCCGGGGCTACCGCGGTGGGGACGGCACAAAGAGGGACGCGCAGAGGTGGCAAGGACGAGCTGAGGCTGGGAGCAGCTCCCAGCACCATGCTTGGTGTGGCAGGGGCAAGTCTGGCTCCTCAGGATGTGGTCCTGCCCTGAGACCCTCTCAGCATGGCCGGGGTGTCCTGCAGCGAGGCAGGGCTGGGGACCCTTCAGCACAGGCAGCACGAGCTACAGAGGGGCCACATCCAGCTCAGCAAAACCCAGCTGAGCTCAGAGCCCACCAGGGCAGGGCAGGGCAGGGGGCGGTGGGTTCACTGTCCCCCCTAGGGGCCATGGTGTGGGCAGGGCACAGGGCTCTGTGGCCCTGAGCCAGAGCTGCAGGGTGGGTGCTGAGCCCCCCTTCACCTCCCTGCACAGCCCCGGGGTGAAGGGGAGCATCCCTGTGCCCCACAGCTCTGGAGCACTGCCCTGCATCCCATGACTCAGTGGACATCCATGTCCCACAGATCACTGCAAACATCCTTGCTGCCCCACGTCCCATGACTTAGGGACATTCCCATTATCCCACACCCCATGGCTTGATGGGGACATCCCGGTTGCTTGATGTCCCAGGGTTCAGCTAGAACATCCCCACTGTCCCATGTCCTGCTGCTTGTAGGGGAATGGCATCTCTGCTACTCCATGCCCCCCAGCTCAGGGTTATGCTTCCACTGCCCCACATCCCATGTTTTGGTGGGGACACCCTGCTGCCTGCTGTCCCAGGGCTGAGTGGGGATGTCCCAGGGGACACCCAGTGCCCTCTTCCCCACAGCTTGGTGGGTACATCCCACACCCCGTTATTTGTGGGGGACATCCCTGCTGCCCTGCGGCCCCACCGGGGCCATGGCGTGGCCCAGCACGGCTCCCTGCCCTCTCAGGGCTGCTGGGGTGGGTCAGGGCTGGTGGCAGGTGTGACCCTGACCCGCTGTCCCTGCCCGCAGGGTGACTCCGGGGCTGCCTGAGCGCTGACATGGCCGCGGGTGTCATCCAGCCCCTGGCCGAGCTGCGGCTGCCCTCGCCCTTCCCGCACGGCCTGCTGCTGCCCACACACCCCGAGCCCGACTTCCCCGACCTCTCCGAGGAGGAGGAGGAGGAGGAAGAAGAGGAGGAAGAAGAGGAGGAGGACGTGGAAGCAGTGGAGGAGAGCGTGAGGCCGGAGCTGGCCAGTGTCCCCAGCACCGCCGAGACCACGCTGCGTCTCCTCAAGTTCTCGGAGCTCATCAGCTGCGACATCCAGCGCTACTTCGGGCGGCGGGGCCGGGAGGAGGCGGCCGGCAGCCGCCCGGTGCCCGCGGACTGCGGCTCGCCCCGGAGCGCCGAGGCCGGGCCCGAGGCCTCGCGGGGCAGCCCGGGCGCCGCGCACCGGCTGGGGCCGCTGGCCGAGCTCTTCGAGTACGGCCTGCAGCGCTGCCGGCCCGCCGGCGGCAGGACGCAGCGGCTGGAGAGGAAGTACGGCCACATCACCCCCATGCACCGCAGGAAACTGCCGCCCTCCTTCTGGAAAGAGCCGGGCCCGGGCCCCGCCAGCCTCCTGCACGCCGGCACGCCTGACTTCAGCGACCTGCTGGCCAACTGGACAGCGGAGCCAGGGCCAGAGCTGCCGGGCCGCCCGGGGCTGGAGGCAGAGCCCTTTGCTGGGCTGTGACCCCGCTGTGGCCCCGGTCCCGCCACGTGCCACCCAGTTAATGATAAACCCGGTGGCCCCGGTGCCAGCACCGGGCACTCGGAGCTGCCGGGTCGAAGCCGGTGACGGGACGAGTGAATAAATGACTCCCGCCAGGCAGCAGCGCGTGCGGTGTCCTTTGCCACCCGCCACCGCGCTGTCCCTGCTGCCACAGACAAAGGGCCGGGCCTTGGCATGACCCTGGGGGCTGCTGGCAGCAGCAGGAGGAGCAGGGAGCGGTGGCGGCAGGAGCCAGCAGCCCGTGTTTACTCTGGGCCCAAGGCGGTGGATCCCAGCCCCTTATCTCGGCCGCGCGGGGCAAAGGGCGACGCGGGGCCTCATAAAGCAGCCGGCTGTGAGCACACAGGGGGACCCAGCGCTGCCCTGGGGACCCACTGTGCCCTGCAGCGCCCCTGCCCAGGGCAGCGCCAGGGATCTGCACCCGCACAGGAGAGCAGGGCTGGCTCCTCTTGCCCAGGGCCGGACCTGGCTGTTACCAGGGCCCAGCTGAGGCATCCTCTGCTTTGTGTTGGTGTTGAAAGGGAAAAGAAGCCAGGGAGGGACAGCCACCCCCTGCCTTGAGCCCAGGACACAGCCGGCCCCCACCCCCAGCCTGAGCCCTCCCAGCAGCAGGAGTGGGGACAGGGCTTGCTTCAGCCCCAAGGCAAGAAGAGAAGCAAGAGACAGGCAGCACCACAATAAAGTACAAACAGTCTTTATTTCAGCACAGATCCTGCAGTCAAAAGCCTCTCCAGGCACCAGGTGAGGAAGGGGCAGTCCCAGGGGAGAGGAGCAAGGATGGGGGAAGATAGGAAAAGTGAGGTGCTAGGACTGGCTTTGCTCCCATCCCCAGCCAAATCCAGGACTGCTGGTGGGATTTGGGGTGCCTGGAAGGGCCCAGGCTGCTGGAAAGGGCCAGAACATGCCCCAGGAGTGACTCTGGATCCCAGTGTGGGAGCAGCAGTGCTGGGAGGACTGCAGGAGTGGCAGAGGGGCACAGGCTGCAGGACCAACATCTCCCCAGTGCAGGCAGCTCTCCCCTCCCCATCCCTGCCCCAAATCCCAGCGGTGTCTCCCCACACATGGGTTGGGGTCAGAGTGGCTGAGGGAGCCAAGAAAGAACCAGAGGCAGCAGCTGCAGAACCAGGGGAGCCCTTTTATTGCACAGCCAAGCAGGGCACGTTCCCCTCCTCACTCCCAAAGAGCAGGGAGGCAACCCCAGAGCTCAGCCCAACCCAGAAAAAGCAGGACCACAGGGCAGCAGGGAATGGGGGCCTGGGGGCAGGAAGGAGCCCCATCGTGTCCCCTCTGCTCCTCTCACAGGCCCTGCAGCTGAAGCTAGGGCAGGGCTAAGTCCCAGACAGCCCAGATTGGGTGGATGAGGCAACAGAGGCCACGTGCGGTGTCAGAGAACTGTGCCCAGCTCAGTAGGGCAGTCCTGCTCCCCATGGAACACTCCAGCCTTCACCCAGCCTTCAGAGAGAGCCTATTCCAGGAGCTAACAGAACCAAGGGTGAATTTTGATCCCTCAGGGAAGCAGAGGAAGGGGTGACAAGAGGAGGCAGTAGATGTGGGAAGGCAGCAGCAGGCAGGAGGGCCAGGGCAGCATGGCCATGGCAGTGCTCCAGGCACTGTGATGCCTGCAGGGACTGGCCCAGTCCTCTCCCCACCTCCTGCAAAAGGGGGTGCCCAGCTCCCAGGGGCCGGGGCACGTCTCTGCGGGGCCACACTGCCTCACGTCTGTGCCAGCGAGAGCTCCTCCAGGCCCTCCTTCCCCAGCCGGTACCTGGCGAGGTCCTTGCGCGTCACCATCCCCACCACCTGCCAGAACAGGGACAGGGTCCAGCCCGATGTGGGCACACAGGGCCTGGGGACAGTGTGTCCCTGTCCCCTGCAGGAGCCCAGGCTGCTTGGACACAGCAAGCAGGGACTCACCTCGTTGCGATTGTCCACGACCACCAAGTGCCGCAGGCCCAGGGCTCGGAAGAGCTTGAACACGCGGGGCAGGGACGCCTCCTGCGGGGCAGAACGGGGCTGGGGGGCTGCAGCACCCCCGGCCAGCCCCACTGCCCACCCTGATCCCCAGGAGCTGTGCACAGGGGTCCCTGGCCGTTACCTGGGGCACGGTGTAGGGCGAGGGGTTCATGAACTCGCTGAGGTCAATCATGCACTCGCGCTCGTCCTGGGAGACGTGAATGGACTGGATGGGGGGGAAGCGGGGGTAGGCGTCCCGAAAATCCTTCAGCTTCAGCCGCCGCTGCACCACGCTCAGGTTGGCCCTTTCCACAAAAACCTGGGGAGGAAGGACATGGCTGGGGACTATCACAGGCACCACGACAATGCACAGGGCCAGGGAGGGAAAAGGGCAGAAGGGTGGGACAGGTGGACCATCCGCAGAAGCAGAGCCTGTTTCCCACTCTCTCAGGGTTTGTGAGCCCAGTGGGGTGCAGGATGGTGCTGGGGTAACCCCACCACCGAATGGCAGCACCACCATCCCCCTGGGTGAGCTGAGGGAGATGACAGGACCCTGTGCCAGCTGAGCAAGGCAGGCAGCAAGGGGCCTGAGACAGGACTGGGACAGCAGACACAAGGCAGTCTCCAGGCAGCATCACCCACCTTGTGCTTCAGCAGGACGATGAGCTGGGAACGCAGGATCAGACCCCGCAGCCCGGCAACCTGCAACAGGCACCGTGTGTGAGGGTCCCACGCTGCAGCCAGCCCTCGGGGGGCCACCCCAGCTGCATCCCCTCCCCAGGGGCACCCAGCCCACCTGTGTGGTGTCGGGGTTGCTCTCCACCACGGGGAAGCCGTTGTGGTTGGAGGAGGTGTCACTGAGGATGTCCACAACCGTGCCCACGCGCTCGATCCTCCGCAGGCAGGTGACAGGAGTGCTCATCACCTCCCTGCAGGGAAAGCTCTGGGTGGAACACAGCCCCATGGCAGCACTCACTGCATCCTGCAGTCATACACTGGTTTGCTGGGAAGGGACCTAGAAGCTCATCTCATTCCAAACCCTTTCCATGGGCAGGGACACCTTCCACTAGACCAGATGGCTCCAAGCCCTGTCCAATCTGGCCTTGGATAGCAGTTCAAGGGATGGGGCAGCCACAGCTTCTCTGGGCACCCTGTGCCAGGGCCTCAACACCCTCACACCCTAAATATCCCCCCAACACACATGACTCAATGCTGATGCCTCCTCTGTCCCCAAAAGCTGTCAGGGAGAGAGGAACACACTGCAGATCACATCCCTGCTGGGGAAGAAGCTGAGCTGTGGTACCAGGGGACAGCAGGCTCCTGTAACCAAAAGGTCACCACCTCCACTCCCAGCTCAGGCCAACACTGGGGTCCAAAGGCTGCTGCCACAGCAATGCCCAGCCCACCTACCTGGCTGTGAGGGAGTGGGATGTCACTGGGGCCTCCCAGTGCAGGAAGGGGACACTTTGCAGCTGGATGTGCATGTCGTACAGTCCCTGCAACAAGAGCCAAGCCATCAGCAGAGGCCTGGTGAGATGCCAAGGGGCACAACCAGGCAGCAGCTCATCCCTTAGAGCGAGCACATGCCTGTCCTGGCCCCCGCTGGCCCCCCAGCCCTGGGGAGCACACCAGCCCTCACCTCCACAAAGTAGTCTCCCACAATCTTTGCTGTCATCAGCACCAGCATGATGGGGAAGCCATAGGTGACGTTGCCTGTTGCCTCCATCATGATGACAGTGAGACTCAGGGTCATCCGCACGATCCCACCTGCCAGAGACACCCAGGGGGTTTAGAAGGGCAGGGAAACACAGAGTGAGGGCATCACAGAACAGCTGAGGGCCCTGAACCTCTCAGTGATCCAGGAATGCCCACCCAGGGGTGCCCCAGGCCAGCCCAGCCCTCACTGTGCTTGGCAGGGTGATGAGGAAGCTGACAGGCTGGGCTTCAGCTGGGAGGGAAGCTGTCAGGGAAGCAGGGAGTGCTTTTTCCCATGACATCTTTACCCCAACCAACACTGTGCCATGGGCAACTCACCCAGCTGTGCAGCAGCTCCCATCAGGGCATACTTCCCAGGATCAGCCCAGATCTGAGCACAGGAAAGAAAAGGAGCCAAGTCACCTGCTGGCTCCAGGGCATTCAGAATAGTCAGCAGAGTCCTGGTCCCCAAACCCCCCTCCAAAGTGGGGAGAGCTGCCTGAACAACCCAGCTGCTGGCAGGGCTCCACTGGGACGTCGGGAGGCCCAGACCCAGCTCAGGAAGACATCAAGCAAGGAGCCAGCCAACTTCAGAGCTTTCAGCCAGCTCCAGGCACGCTGCCTGAACATGCCACCAGCCCAGCAGAGAGGGAGGAGAGCTGGGTGCCAGGAGTTCCCAGGCACGACTCACCGAGCCCTTGGTCAGGTAGGACAGGGAGATGCCAAAGAGCCTCCCCCAGGCTGCCCCGATCAGCAGGGAGGGGATGAAGACCCCTGCAGACACTGTCAGGCCATAGGTCCAGCAGGCCAGGAAGAAATACATCAGTGTGAACATGCCCAGTGTCATGGGGTTGTAGGAACCTGGGGTGGGGACAGAACAGAGTCAGTGCTGGTCCCACAGCCCAGGGGACACTGATCAGGCAGCAGCAGCCCCACAATTCACTCCCAGCAGTGAGAACCCCTCTTCTTGGGCTGCACCTCCTGCCCTGGCAGCACAGGTACAGCCTTTCAAACTGGCTCTTCAGGTCATTTCTGCCCCCTCCAGCAGCCCCCCACCCAGCCAGTGCCATCCCAAGCCCTCACATCCCATCCCTCCATCTTGTGACTCATCCCCTCCCAGCCCTGTGGTTCCCAGACTCCCATGATGAACTTCAAGGCCCTGAGGGAGGGACTGCCAGGGCTGAAGGACAAGGTTGGGAGGACAGAGGTCCCACTGCCAGCTTTGGGATCAACTGAGCAGGGCACGTCCTGCAAAGTCCCTCCCATCCTGCAGCTCCCACAGCTGCTCCAGCGAGTGCCATGCTGTCCCACAGCACAGGCTGTGCCATCCCAGTGAGACCCTGCTGACCCCACAGCCCAGCTAAGTGCTATTTTAGGATTGCTGAGCACCCCAGTCTAGTTTAAACAGGTACATTGCAACCCCTCCTTCAGACAGCA